TGCGCGCTTGGATACCAAGATATTAGGACACATAAACCCAAAATACTCATGAGCGGAGACAGCTCTTGTTGGAATGCTTCCGCGTCTCCGGCGAATCTCTCGCCCATTCTCCCATTCTCTTGTCTTTTCCTCCGGGCACAAAACCCTAGCAGCTCCCATCACTTCCTCAGTCGATTCCCATGTTGGCGCGCCTCCGGTTGCCGTCTTCTGGGACCTCCACAACAGGCCCCCAAAGTCGATTAGTCCCTACGACGCCGCTGTTCGCCTCCGTCTTGCCGCCTCCTCCCTCGGCCCTCTCCGCTTCGTCGCGGCCTACGGCACTGCTCAAGCCCTCCGCAACGTCCCCTCCCCCGTTTGCATCTCTCGGCTACAGGACCCTGCTCCCTCCGCGGCTTGCATCTGCCGCGTCTGCGGCCGCAACTTTTTCGTCCACTCCAAGCTGCTTAATCATTTCAAGATGCACGAGCGCGAACACGAGAAGCGCCTCCGCAGACTCGACTCGGCCACCGGCGGCCGCTATGTCCGTCTGAAAGCCCAGCTCAGTTTAAAGATGGATAAGTTCAGGAAGGCGGCGAGGGAGGTTTTGATACCTAGGGTCGGGCATGGCCTCGGAGACGAGCTCCAACGGGCGGGGGTTTCGGTACGGATTGTGGAGGATAGGCCGGAAGCGGCTGATCGGGCGCTTAGGGAGCACATGGCGGAGACTATGGATAGGCGACGAGTTGGCTGCTTGGTTTTGGTTTCAAATGACACCGGATTTGTCGGAGTTATCAGGGAGGCAAGGATGAGGTGCATGAAGACGGTGGTGGTTGGTGATGACGGGGACGGGGCGCTGAAGAGGTGCGCTGATGCTTCTTTCTCGTGGAAGGAGGTGGTTTCAGGGAAGGCAAGGAAGGAGGGGCCTTCAGCCGTGGTAAGGTGGAATGACAGGGATTTGCTAAAGAAATTGGAGTGGCGGTATGAACCAGAGTCGGAACCTAATGAAAGCGAATGTAATGGGAGTAAATGGGAAGACATAGATCCAGGATATGAGAGCGCTTCTGATGGATGTGAAGATTTGATGGGCCAGAGAGTTTCCAAGCCTTGGTGGAAGCTTGATTAGTTTGATGATAATTCAGTTGCAAGGCATTAACTTTTGGTGCTAATTTTCAAATTCCGACAGAGAGAGAGAGAGGGAGAAAGTCTTCTGTTCTTTGGTAGCCACATTTCCTGATCTCTATGCATCTGCAAAGGGGAAAGAAGCTATTTTTCAAGCCTCTAATGATGGATTAAATCTTGCTTATGGTGCTTGACTTCGAAGGAGGTGCAGCAAGATGCCGCAGGCTATCATCTTTTACTCTTTGCTTTTTCATTTGATATACCGGTTTATCATTTGATTTTTGAGCTAATGGCTCATTTATTTGCTGTAGATATATGCATGATGCTCACATCTTCCGTAGTTTAATTTTGTTTTCATTGTAGTTTCTACTTCACATCTCCATTTTTTTTGTCTTATCTTTCCTTCATCCAGATGTTGCAAACTTGGGACTAGCTTTT